CACGTCTAATTTTACAATTTCTTCAATTAGAAACATTAATTCTTGATAATATTGATGCAAAATATCTTCACAATATTCTCAAACATTCTATTCTTTTACCAAAACTCTATTCATTAGTTCTTACACCTATTGATTATGTGCAAGACCCAAGTATTCTTTTTATTTACATATTTCGTTTACCAAAATTAAAATCTTGCAAATTTACATATCAAACAAAAGATAATCAAGAACCATTGCCGTTTTTTTAGTTGATTTTAAACGTAGTTCAATTGAATATCTCGTAATAAACAGTCGTTTTCCATTTGATTCCTTAAATGATTTCTTTTTTTGTCTTCCAAATCTTCGTTATTTATCAATTAATTGTCTTGTTGGATCTCGCTATAGTGATATTCATTATTATCCTATTGTATTAAAATATTTAAATCATGTTTCAATGAAACTTGATTATATAAATTTCAATCTATTAGAAAAATTAATCAAACGTTTTTTTCATCATGTCGAAATTTTACGTCTTACAACACAATTTTATCAAACATATTTAAATGCTAAACGATGACAAAAAGTAATTCAAACTTATATGCCAAATTTACGTATCTTCGATATACATCATGAAGATTCTATACAAGATAATCATATACTATATCATAATTTAATGGAAGAATTTAATTCATTATTTTGGATTGAACGACAATGGTTTTTTACTCATCAACATGATTGGCAACAAAGATTAGATAGTGGAATATTTTATTCAACAAATCCATATCGGTAGAATAATACTGAATATTATTTTCTATAAATGATGTTTGTTTTTTCTTGTTTAGAAGAAAAGATTATACATTTTATTGGGAATTAGATCAACAATTATGTCCACATATTCAAGAAAATAATTTAAATTCAGTTAAACATATTCATATTTGTAGTAAACAAGCTAGAAATAATTGTATTAATTATTTTCCAAATGTAACTGAATTAACAATTACACATTTTTTTCCAAACATCAGATCATTCAATTTCAATAACTTTGAATCGAATGATTCCTTTAAAACAATTAACTAAATTAGTTATTGAATCTGATCATTTTCCTTTTGATGAAATTGTTAAATTATTATATTTTACACCTAATTTACATACATTAAAATTAGATTTACTTCCTCTCTATGAAACAAATTTAAAAGTACTTTATCAAAATGAAATTTTTCAATATGTATCAAATGAAAATCATATTCAAAATTTAGATCTTCGTCATTGGTGTACATTAAAACATTTTCAATTGATTATGAATTTATTTCCACAAATTGAATATCTTAAAACCGGAATGGAAAGAAAAGAAATTCAAAAAATTATAAAATTTCTATTTTCAAAAACGAATAATAGAACATATCATTTATTCTTTTTGTGTATTTCTCCAACACCTAAAATATGTTTACAAGAATTAAAAGATTTAATTCAATCAGAAAATTTACTTGATCATTATTCTATTAAATATATTAAGCGAGATTTGTATTTATGGTGGTAGATATTTTCTTGTTTAGAATATGTGTTATTCTTGTATACAGTTAGTGAATATTTTGAAATAAACAGAGGTATAAAACTTGAATACAGTTTTCAATAATCCTGAATAATATGATGGAAGATCGAAAGGTAAATGTATTGTTCAAAAGTTCATGTTTAATACAGTGAAGTAGTTCCTGATCATCATATCGTGGTATTAGGGCTGAGAGTGTCGATGTTCTTCAGTACGCGGATTATCACTTTCATCTTGATTCCTTTGCGACGCTCCGCAAATGATGATTGCTAGAATAAAATACAGCGACTAAAATTAGGCAATCACTAGTTTTACCCTTAATGATTATTGATACTCGATGGCTTGATGAGGAATCTTCTTTTAATAAAATATACAAATGATTTTGATGTACACTTGCAGAAGAAAATATGTAAGAAAAAGCCTTTTTTCCAACGAAGATCAATGAGTCATATCCGCAATCACTTGCTTTCGTAATACAAAGTGGGACGTGCTCGACTGAGAAAAAGAAAGCTCAAAAACGTGGGTCTCTGTATGTGTCATCATCAAATTAGGAGGGTGTGGGGGTGCGAGTGTTGGTCGGTGAGAGTGTACGTGCGGGTATGAATGTCTGATTTAAGTACACTCACACCCACACCACCCACACTCACATCCAGACCCACAACCAAAACTCATCTAATAATCTCGAAAACTGATTGATTAGTTTGTAGTAGTTTGGAGTTGATTGTATTTATTTACATTAGAAGGACGTTTTCTAATAAGACTAATTGATGAAAAATATCGATACGAAAAAACCTTTTGATAAATGAATTGGTTTTCAATCTGAACACGTTAATTTTAATGTATTTTTGGAGCAAAACAGTGTTCCATGTAGTTAAAGCAGCTACTATTTGTGCATTGAAATTTTTCCAATCCCGAATACATGTGTTGCGAAACTTTTAAAACTCGCTCAGATGTTCGTATTAGAAATAAGATTACTGTTAAGAATGTAATATACAAACTGTATGGAAAATTGTTTCTTATTGTTGATATATTAACTTCTAAATGTTCGACATACGTGAAGATTTTTTTTATGAATAAATGGCATCAATAAAAAATTACTCTATTACAGCAAAATAATATATATATATCTAATGAATCATTCCTAGTTTTGTATAAATTATTAAGACAAGGTCTATACACTGTAAGCATATAACGGGTGCGACAGACTAAATGACCCTCTCAATATTTTAGCGTTAGCTCCTTTTTTTCTTTCAACGAAAAGACAACTTTTTTATGAAAAGATGTGCCGCGAAATTCTCTACAAAATAGCCTTTTTCAAATTTACTCATTAGCTTTTTTATCATATTTTAAAAGGAAATGGATTTGGTTGACAAAATGAACAATACTTTCAAAAGACAACTGCTTTTCAATATTTTCGAATAACGTCTCATTTGCCGTTTTTCAACGACGTTTGTTGATATGTTATTGTAATTCTGATGTTTATCGATTCAATCTAATTAGATAAGCCTAGATAGCTCTGAAGCATCAATGAATCACGATTAATTATAAATTAAAATAAAATATCAACAAAAGTCGCTGAAAAACGGTCAATGAGACGCTATTCGAAAATGTTGAAAAATAGTTGTTTTTTGAAAATCCTGCTCATTTTGTCAACTAAATCCATTTCCTTTTAAAATATGATGAAAAAGCTAATAAGTGAATTTGAAAAAGGCTATTTTGTAGAGAATTTCACGGTGCATCTTTTCATAAAAAAGTTGTGTCTTTTCGTTGAAAGAAAAAAAGGAGTTAATGCTAAAATATTGAGAGGGCCATTTATTCTGCTGCATCCGTTATCTCTAAGAAGGTGGTTAAAGCATGAGAGACCATTCATGATATATTGCTAATATGCATAGCTTATTGGCCAATGTCAGTGATTTTGATGAAAAGTCGATAGCAAACGAAATTCATGTTCAACATGCCTTATTTCGTCGAAAATAGACTGAAAAAAACAAGCATATTTGCAGAAGTTTTTCGAATCGTATTGAATCAATTCCAACACGCAAATCAAAATTTAGACAAGAGCAGCTTTTGCTTCTTCTAAGTCATTTACAAGTCGAATTGAAACCTCATGATCAGGTGGGTGTGGGTATGGGTGTGGGTGTGGGTGTAGGTGTGAATGTGCGTTCGGGTCTTCTAATTTGCAACTACCGCAGTCCATCCACATACCCACACCCTTTTATTTCAAGATAACAAAATCCGTTTCTAAAACGAAAATTTAAAATCAATACATTTGTTTGAAATAAGTTAACTTCAGTAGACATAGATATTCTATGATCATATACAAAAATAAATGATCTCAATTTATGAAACGACATCAATGCAACTGAGTATTTTATAATTGTTTAAGAAATTTTATCGATATGATTTCATGTGATATTCGACCTTTGCAATATCTCGATTGACTCATTCAATTGGTAACCTACTCGCATCTATTCAATATTCATACCGGCAGCCTTTTCTTGATCAAGGTTACTAAATATTTTGAAATTCAAAACAAGTGATTCAATTTACAATAAATGATTATTCATATCAAGAAAAAAAAGAATTTTGATTTATTATCAGACTGTTGAAAGTGTTGTAAACAACATTGATATGTATTATAGTCACTAATAATGATCTAGCTATCATTTTTTTTATAGATTTCTTCATATTTAAATAAAAATAAAAATGAATATTCAATGGTTTATTTTTCCCAATTGAAAAATCTTCGTTAATTTCGATTGATTTTTCTCCTGTTTCTCAACTACAGAACTTTTATAATTATAACAATAAAACGAAAGACAACACCATCGGGAAAGTGCGTTATTGAAAAACAAATACAATAATCATCAAATCAAAATGAAAATATACAAAACTAAAACAATGAGTAAAGTATGTGGAGATAAACATCATACAACAGTAAGACAATATGGTAAAATAATTTGAGAATATGGAAATGCAACAATAGATAAATTAGATCAAATTGATTCATCATCGAATGATAATAATGATCAACCAATTATTGGCAAGAAGAGACGAGAGAAAGTATTATTCGAGTTTGTTTTTTTTTATTTTGAAAGAAAAACATGTAGTTGTCTCGCTGTTTTTTACTTAATATATTTTATTGTTTCCGCTTTGTCAAAACTGAGTGTCTTTTTCGATTGAAAATAAACTTATCGACAACAACATCATTTTCCTCAACAACAACAGAAAAAAAAGAAAACAGGTGTCAATTCTGATCGAATGAGCATTCGATAGCTTATAAACAACTAGACAAAAACTTCTTTTTCTCTAAATTTCATTTACGATTCACTCACACATTAGAATATTGATTTAATCTTGAGGGTGTAGATGCGGATGTGTATCTTTTCTTCTGTAACCAGTATACTCACACCCCACACCCACCCAAGTATCAATTGCTATTTTACAAGAAAATATCGATGAAAAATAACTTGTAAAGAATTTTCTATTTTGCTTAGATAGCATACCATATGTAGAGAAATGAATTTTCAATGTATCCTGCTTAACCATTACATGATCTTAGTTTATTGTTTTGTTTTTTTGTAATTTATTAATGACCATCAATTAAAATATTTATAGATGGTCATTTTATTTGTTATGTATAAAATACAAAAAGTATTGTATAAGTCAAAGGATCATGTTTATGAGCTTTCAATCGATGGAGTATTAGTTGGAAAATTAAATAGTTAGATAGAATCTGTCGAGTCATTTCTAAAAATATTGTTTTTTGATAGATTCGAACAATGTTATTATGGCGAAAACTAGATTTGCAAGAGTATAAAATTTTTTTCTGTGATATTTTTGTATTTTATTGATATTTAGATAAAATACTTCTATTTCATACATTTAACAATCAAATTTTATCACTTGTTATCCATATGAGTCGAAATGACAATCGAAGTATAACAGAAAATATAAACATAATTAATATGTTTACCAATTTGCAGTATTTAAATTTTGTTTCATCGCCACTTTGGTATCAATTATTATTATTTCATTATTCACCTTCAGCTATTTTCTCATAAAATCCTATTAGAATTGTACGTTAGTTTGAAATAATTTCATTGATTGTCTTTTTTTTTCACTTGATAGTATATTATTTAATACCTAATTAAATGAGTCAATAATATTTTTTTTTAGGAAAAACTCCCTAAGTTAAGACGCTTTATACAATTCGTTGATCTGGTTCTATATAGATATGATGAATTAATTGTACCATTTCTACATTGAATGTTAAATTTAGAAGAAGAACTCAGTTTGAAGGATATTATTGATCATATGATACAATTAAACAAAATTTATATATAATATTTATTCAATCATTGATCTTGATAATCAAATTATTACTTGTGTTGATTATTTTTCAGAGGCAGTAGAAGGTCGATGTTATATTTATTCATATCCGTAATAATGTATAATATCAAAAGATGACGATCAGGATTTCTCAATTGTTAAATATCCTCATCTTAATGATCTCAATCTATATGAAGTTCATGATGATTATAAATGTTACACACAATTTTAAACGAGATGCAACATGGATTAATTGTTCAAAAATTATTTTTTTGAATACACATCTATTTATATAATGATTGTTATTCTTTAAAAAAAATTAATTTCTTTAATAATTCTTAATATTACAGCTGTTTAAATTGTTTATATAAACTTAAACGTTTTAACTATTTGGAAAAATAGACAGTAAACTTGAGTTTTAATATTATATCGCTTCTTTTAAATGATGTTTTTCAAAATCATTTCAGTTATAGACTATTCATTTTTGTAGTGAGTAAATTTTTATAAACCTAAGTTTTATATAATTGTCTATCTAATCACTAGTATGTTACATTCTGGTATTGGAAAAAGAAAATTTTGAAAATATCAGTTTATCCTGAAAGTAATAGTTTATTTGAAAATTTTCCAAGAAATGAAATTTATCACAAATTTAATGAATG